ACAAAATATATAATAAAATTAAAATTTTGAATTATTTATTACCAAGTTTTTCGGCAAATTTTAGGCAATACACTATCATGTTTTTTTTAAATTGTACACGCACAAAGTCTTTTCGTACTAAATTTATAATTGAATGGAACAAATTCAATTGCTATTAAGTAAAGGGAATTTTATCTTTTTCTTCAAAAGAACATTTTATGCCTATCAACTCTATACTAAATTATATGACTCAAAAAAACGTCATAAATATGAATTATGTTATTTGTACACTAAACGTATCATCAAAGTATTTTCGTACTAAATTTATAATTAAATGGAACAAATTCAATTGCTATTAAGTGAAGGAAATTTTATGTTTTTCTTCAAAAGAACATTCTATCAACTCTATATTAAATTATACAACTCACAAAAATGGCAGAAATATGAATTATGCTATTTGTACAAGACGTGTCATCAAAGGCATTGTCTGGCATAGCTTTTCATTAGAAAAATTACCGTTGGCAGTGAAAATACCACCGTTGGTAGCCGCAATATTTGACCCACGCTCTCACAAGTGGGTCCCGTCTGACCAAATAACAGTCAAATTATTGCTAAAAATTTGAAAAAGAAGCTGCACCAGACATGTTCAAAGTCTTTTCGTACTAAATTTATAATTAAATGGAACAAATTCAATTGCTATTAAGTGAAGGAAATTCTATGTTTTTCTTCAAAAGAACATTTTATGCCTATCAACTCTGTATTAAATTATACAACTCAGAAAATGTCAACAATATGAATTATGTTACTTGTACATGGATGTGTCATCAAAGTCTTTTCGTACTAAATTTATAATTAAATGGAACAAATTCAATTGCTATTAAGTGAAGGAAATTTTATCTTTTTCTTCAAAACAACATTTTATGCCTATCAACTCTGTATTAAATTATACAATTCAGAAAAATGGCAAAAATATGTTATTTGTATAAGGATGTCATCAAAGTCTTTTCGTACTAAATTTATAATTAAATGGAACAAATTCAATTGCTATTAAGTGAAGGAAATTTTATGTTTTTCTTCAAAAGAACATTTTATCCCTATCAACTCTCTATTAAATTATACAGCTCAGAAATATGGCAGAAATATGAATTATGCTATTTGTACAAGACGTGTCATCAAAGTTTTTTCGTACTAAATTTATAATTAAATGGAACAAATTCAATTGCTATCAAGTGAAGGAAATTTTATCTTTTTCTTCAAAAGAACATTTTATGCCTATCAACTCTATATTAAATTAGAAATATGAATTATGCTATTTGTATACACATCTGTGTACGTATTGTTGATACTACGGGTACAAGTTAGAAAAGGTAAAACCACTTTTGATAGAAATGTCCAAAGTTGGTATAAAAGTTGAACCTCAATCTTAAGGGTCCCCCATTGTCCCGTCCCTGAAGTATCGTGAGATAAGTTAATCGTGTGATGTGTTCCAACAGGCTAGAGAATAAGAGTTACTTGTACACTGGTACTTACAAAGAGTCTCAATTCATTTTTTATTTTTATTTTTATTTTTATTTTTCCTCTTCACGTCACAAACATATGCCACGTGTTTATGCATAGAAATATGGTCCGAAAATGTCACCAAAATTCAATTCATTATCCTACTGGCTCCCACTCCAAAATCAATCGCAGTTCTTAGAATACGTCTCCTTCAACAAAACGAACCCTGATGGATACCAGTTCACTTCAATCAAGCATGCCCGTTATCGATCTGAAATCGGGCAGTCAGAAAATGCCCTTATTGGGATTCGGAACAGCGTCGGATCCTCCTGTTGATTCAGAAACCACAAAGAACGCCGTCCTTCAAGCGATTGAACTCGGTTATAGGCATTTCGACACTGCTGCTTTTTATAATTCCGAGCAGCCACTTGGCGAAGCCATTGCTGAAGCACTGAATCGCGGCTTAATCAAGTCTCGGGACGAGGTTTTTATTACATCTAAGTTATGGTGCAGTGATGCCCATGCCCAATTTGTGCTTCCTGCTCTTCAGAAAACTCTCAAGTAATTCACACTTCTTCACATTCGTATACTGTTCATAGCATGATTTGATAAGTAAAAAATTTTCAATTACAAGGGTGTGTTTGATTACATTTATTTTCCATGGAAAATATCAGTTTTCCATCCAAATTTTCGCTTAGAGTGTTTGATTGTTATTTTTTTCCATGAAAAATATTTTTCAATTTTTAAAAATATGCCTAATTTTTCTTGTTTTTAGGAAAAATATTTTTCATGGATAGAGGTTGTTTTTATTTTCCACAAAAAATGAAAAATATTTTCTGTTTTTAGGTAATATTTTACATGCCAATCAAACACACTCTAACTTCATGTATCATTGTAAATTTGAATAGACCGACACGTAGGCCCAGCATTCCATGAACCAGCCCCTCTAAATTATGGTCTCAGCCTCTCGGACTGTCTTCAAAATATGTGGATCAAACCGGCTCTTGAACTTGCCAATATTGTGCTCTACCTGGACTCTTTGTTTTGAAAAATTTTCTGGGAAAATGGCATTTTTTTCATTTAAATTCCAACTATTAGAGCGTGTGATTGCTATTTTTTCCATGAAATCCTTCTTTTCGAGGAAAGCATTTTCTTTGGGACAATCTAACACACCCTAAAAAATTTAATATTCTTGTTGGTAAATTTGCAAATTATAATTTAGCACTCTACAAGTAGTACTTACTACTAATATACAATTTTAAAGTAAATCGAGCTCATTGACCATCCTTGTGGATCTGGGGTTAGAAATCTAAACTGAAACGACTGGACATAAATGACGGACCGACCATTGGAACCTGCTTGAAGAGAGCTAGTCTG